ACAGAAAAGGTACCTGGCAAAAAGATGGTTCGAAGCGAGCCGTCACTCAAACGGGCCGAAGGCCCGTTTTCGGATAAAAGATGTATTACACCAAAAACATTCAGAAGGGACGGGCCGAAGGCCCGTACCAAACGCCGCCGGCAGGCCAAGCTGGGCCTGCTCCCTGCCGAACCGAGTTGCCGGTGGAGCGAAGCGGAGCTGGCAACTTGGTTTGGCGGAAGAGCGGGCCCAGCTTGTTTCTTCAAAGCTTCATATTGGTCAGTAAGAATTGTCCTAAAAATTAGATAAAAATATCAACGGATTCTGTGATTTGTGCGCTTTCAAATGGCTCAAAAACATGTTGAGTCAGATCACAAGGGTTGTGATGAGCAGCGTCATAACGTCGATGTGTCTCGTGGGGCACGTAGAGACAATTTTTGTGGGGCACCTGGAGACACCTTAATTTATGTCCGAATGTTTTTAAAATTACGTGATTATCAAAAACTAATGCCAAAAAATGTTTACAGAAATGGTCCGCAACTACAAACCTAAGACAGATAGGGGTAAATTTGGAGAGGGCAACATAAAGGCAGCCATATAAGCAGTAAAGTGAGGCCTCTCATTGAGAATAGAAATTTTGAAATTTTATGTTGATTTTAATTTAAGTATGTAACAAGATGTTATATTTAAATGTGCTAAACCTATTATCAGGTGATATTTTTACTTTTATTTTATGTTGACTTTACTGTGAGTAGCATACCTAACAAAATGTTACTTGTAATTACCAAGGCAGAACTGGGCCATTCTTTTAGTGTTATGGGGAAGGAAGGGGAGGGAGTGGAACATGCTATTTTGGCAATAAACTGCACTATTTTTAGTTGCTAAAGTCAAATTTGATGGCTGTCTCCAAGTGCCCCACGGCTGTCTCCAGGTGCCCCAGGGGTGGGGCACCTGGAGACCTAGTGCATCCTGCACTCAACACACCACCATACCTAAACCGTTCAAAATTTTCCAACAAACAAAACTGATCCAGTTACTTCTAAGTTAGGTCTTTCACCTCGTCTCTCAAACGCGATCCTAACTTCAAAATCCACTGAGAAGTGGGTGAAAAAAGTTCCGACCAGAAACGGATCGTGAAAGCAGATGATACCAATTTAAGAGTAAGCTTTGTTCTACCTTTCTCCCATATTTATAAAATAATTTATACGATTTAAGAAAAACATTACAGACACTACATTGAAAGAATTGTGACCGCGCTGTATCGTCTATCACCATATCATTCGTTTTACGGCATGTTTACAATCCGGCGTCCTCAGAAGCGGGGGCTCCAGCGGAGGGAGCGGGTGGGGGAGGGGGTTGGCTCGGCCCACTCCGCTCGGGCGTGCGGCGACGGAAATCGAGCCTCACTGCCTCAGCCTCAGCCTCACTATCCCCCCTGGCACAATATTACTGATAGCTGGACCTGCTCTCGCTTCTCTGTCCTTACCGAGAGTAAAAGCAATGACACCTTACTTAAATATTCTTATGTTTACTTATGTTAAGTCTCAGTTAAGTAAGGTTTGTAAGGTATCTGCTAAAAAGGCGAAATGTCTCCAGGTGCCCCACTCTCCCCTAGGAAAGTTTATTCGTCCTGAACCTTTTCTTATGGGCCATGTTGAAAAGTATGTCAGTACGAATGGAATAGTAGAACTTGTTGAAAAGCCGGTGTTTGGACAATTCGTTCCCACTAGAAAAGTTCTAAAGTCGTTTCTTGAATTGCCTGGAATGTTTAATATTGTTACTACTCATATGAACCAACTTCTGCATGATACAAGTGGTACGATTTCTAATGTAATTAAAGGTGACTTGTGGAAAGAAAAGTCTGCCGCTGATGGTGAGAAAATGTACCTGCCTATAAATCTTCATTTCGATGATTACGAGCCGGACAATCCTTTAGGTTCACATCATAATGATAATAGTTTAGGTGCCTTATATGGGTCAATTGGATGTTTGCCTCGCAAACTTGCGTCGTCTGCTGAAAATGTATTTCTAGTCACTATATTTCTGTCAAAATATCGTAAAGATTTTGGAAATGAAGTAAGCTTTGCTAATGTTACTGAAGAGATGACCTTTCTTGAAACCGAAGGGATTCAGATCAATACTGGAGACGAAATTCATCAAATTTACTTCCGGTTCACTCTGCTTATTGCAGACAATGCAGGTTTTCATGCAGTGCAAGGTTTTGTTGGTAGTTTTAGTGCAAACTTTTATTGTAGATTTTGTAAACTTCATAGAGACACAATGGAACATTTTTGTGAAAAGGTGCCTGATTGCTTTCTTCGTACGCCTGAAAACTACTTGGTTGATGTTGCTACTAACAAGTCACTTACTGGTGTTAAAGAACTCTGTGTTTTTAATATTATTCCAAGCTTCAATTGCATTGAAAATTCGAATTGTGATGTTTTACATGATCTTCACGAAGGGGCCGTAAAGTATGGAATTTGTAATATTTTATTCTATTTTGTCAGCACTAGAGCTTACTTTACTATTGATGTATTAAAATATAGGATAAAAGGTTTTGATTATGGGCCTATTGATATGGGGAATAAACCTCCTACATCACATCTAACTGTTGAACGCCTTGAAAGCTGTTCTTGGAATTTATCAGCTTCTGAAATGATCTGTGTTGCTAGGTACCTTGGTGAAATGATTAGTGATTTAATACCAGTCGGAAACAATGTGTGGAAGTTATATTTATTGCTCCGTGAAATTTTAGAAATTATTCTTAGTCCATATTTTTATGTAGGCACAGAAAAGTATTTAATGACACTGATAATAGAGCATCATGCAAGCTATGTTCAGTTCAGTAGTTGAATGCTGCGCGCTCCGGGATTAAGGGAGAGAGGACGAGAATAACGTGTTCATAGTTCCAATTACTTTTGTTTTATTCATATTGCTTGATGTTATTTAACTGTTATTAGAGTGGTGACGTAAGATACTCTGACACAGTGATTGAACTTTAAGCACTTCTCAAACTCACCGCCACCAGATTGATCTAAAAGAAACTGAGCTTGTCAGGGCGGGCCGCACAGAAACTCCATTACACATCTGGAAGTACTACAGAGATTGTGTGATAGCAATGAAATAGGAATAATATTCATTATCCTCTCGCAACATGAAGCAAATCCTTCACTCGGGTGCGAAAGCGAGAGGAGGGGGAAAATGTGGGAAGTGCTGGAGCTACCCCCCTCTAGAGCGCCCCCCCTGACATTTTTCGTATTTTTCCGATTATTAGTAATTAATACCCAATTTTCTCATGTATATCGAAACATATTTTGCTGTTCTAATTTTGTTTTTGTTTTTTAAATGTGTTTTATTTTCATTTTTACAAGTTATGAAATAAAGTGGCAAAAATTGGTAAATACCAATTATTGCCATTGTGAATTACTTTAGTTCTCTGCTGTTTCTCTTTATGTTTTGTCTTCTATTGCCACATAAACGCAATTGCCATGTTTAGGTCAAACCCACGCAATAACCAACATTCATTGTGTATACATCCCTTTCAAATAACACCTAATCATTTCAACCCATCGCGAACAGTAACAAAAATATCATTTGCTATCAGATCTTTACGCAGATATACAAGCTATGAAAATGATTGATAACCATGCTCATATCTGTGTTACTATGCTGGGAAGACACACTGCGCTGCTTGTATCGGCTGGGGCTGGGACTCGTTCCTTGGATCCTCGGATTCTTTTGGTGTGAAGTCGACGCCTTTGACCGCTGAGCTAACCTGAAACATGAGGGAGGGCTGGTCCGACAAGCCTCTTGACTCGAGACTCAGTCGAGGCAGTCCTTGCGCTCCCAGAGACGAACGGTTCCACGTAGAATGATGCGGTTTTCAGCTGTCGGCCGATGGCGCTACTTCACATACATTTCAGGTCATTTCGTCGATGCCCACTAGTACATTATTTCTCCTATTCTAATTTGCAAACACAAGCCGTGCCGCTTTACTTTTACGAATCTTTTTTTTTCGGGTGGCCCCATATTTTTAAAATGTTCGGTTTAGTTACCTTTTCTTAGTGGCGGCCATTGGAAATTACCAAATGTAAGACGACCTCAAATTATTTGGGCCAAAGCAAAAGTTCCGGTTTGAATTTTGTGCCATGGACTTGAAAACGCCTGAACGGCTGTCGCATATGTATGATCAAGAATTGCACGTCAGCACGTACAGTATTTAGCACTTTAAGTCACAAGTTTATACTTAGTTAACTCTAATTCTGTGATAAATGTTTTATCAGTGCGCCTCGGCCAGCAGCGCTCCTAGTCACAGGGATTCTGAGATGTATCGGGCTAAAATCTTTTCTGGAGCAAGTCCGACAACGATCGGACTGATTGCGGTACAAGTCCGAGGCCTCGGAGGTTCTCGGACTCTTTACGGTACAAACCCGGATACATTTTCGGATGAGTTCGTTTTCACAAGGGT